CAACATGTTTTGGAAAAAAATGAAAACTTTTGTGGATTTGTTTTTATTATTATTTTCCATCTAGCCTATAGAGCAGTGGTGGGCAACCTGCGGCCAATCAGAGTAATCTGATTGTGGGCCGCGATACATTTTGCTGATGTTGACTATCCTCAGGCACAGACCCCCGCAGCTCCCAGTGGCCATTCCCAGCCAATGGGAGCTGCGGGAAGTGGCGGGCTGCAGGGACGTGCTGGCCGCCACTTCCTGCAGCTCCCATTGGCCAGGAACGGCGAACTGTGGCCACTGAGAGCTGCAGAGGGCCATGTCTGTGGATGGTCAACGTCAGCAAAATGTCTCGTGGCCCGCAATCAGATTACCCTGATAGGCCCCATGCGGCCCGCAGGCCGCAAGTTGCCCAACACTGCAATAGAGTGATTGAAATTTTGATGAAAAGCCTTTGCAAAAAAATGTTCAGGGAAAGTTTTCCAGATATTTTGATCAGCTCTAAAAGGGCCATAATTAGATCAGGCCCATACTTTTGTATTTTATTGGGTAATTTTGATGGCTTCGCTTATAATTTTTAATACATGTTCATTAATTACAGGGCCCACCAGGTGTATCAGGATATCCAGGAAACCCAGGTCTTCCTGTATGTATGAAGCATATATTTATTTACAAAGAACCCCACGGTTTTACTAGTGACATCAGGTGAGGATTAATATAGCATTTATTACTTTTCTGCTTTCTCCTATTGGCAGGGCATCCCTGGACAAGATGGCCCACCAGGTCCACCTGGTATCCCAGGTTGCAATGGCACAAAGGTGATGTTTACATTTTTAACAATTTCCTTGTACATATTTTTTTTAAAAATATTCTTGTGTTTCCTAAATGAAGTCAATTTCTCTGTTCCCTTTAGGGTGAAATAGGTCCTGTTGGTCCTCCAGGTTTACCTGGATTGGTTGGGTTAATAGTAAGCAAACATTTTGATACCTAATTCATTCATTCCAACTCCGATTCTTGACATTTTAAATGCTATTAAAAATTGTATAATATTGATAATATGTATGAGAAAAAATAATACATTTTAAGTATTTATTTTCCAGGGACCTCCAGGATCTCCTGGAATTAAGGTACGTTTGTCTTTAAAATCAAATGCATTCATATATTGCTTTCAAAAGTTAAAAATCAGATGACCTATGCAAATCAAAAGTAGCAGCCCTTACTTAGGTATTGATGTGGCAAAGATTTACACACATGCTTGACTTCTGTACACTGTGAGGTAGTCCCATTAGCTGCCATGGGACTTCTCATAGTGCATAAAGTTTAAGCACTTGCATGAATCTTTGCAGGATCAGGGCCTAAAAGAAAATAGTAGTCGCTGTTAAGCAGGTGTCTTATGCCCACTCCCTGATATATAAAGACTTAAATTCATTTTTAAGATTCAGGCATACATTTATTTTGACATTATCAGGTTTGAGATAACGCCAACGTTTCAGCTTTCCAGTCAATTTTCCACAAAGACTCTCCTTGGAAAACAGCCAAAAACGTGACCAAGATCTTATATTTGTTAAACAAATAGTTGAAATTTAATTTATAAAAACTAACTTTCTATGTAATGAAATGTGTATTACTTTGTCTTTCTAAGGAATGAAATGCTGTGACTATGAAAGGATTTGACACATGAATATAAAATTAATGGATATAATTTGAAACTGCAATTTGCATATAAATCATAAGTGTAATCACAGTTTTGTCATGACAAGACTTTTAGTCATAAAAAGACGCTGGCCTCTTTCTCTCATATGGGAGGAAATGACTCATGGTAAAATAACATTGATGCACTTTAATTATTCTTTTCTATATATGTGTGCATAGGTAAACAACTTTTAGAAGCAACATAACTTAATCACAAAGGGCTGTGATTTGTTCAGAATTTATGAAAATGGCATCATTTGATACCAAATAGTGAAGCAAAGATGTGAATAACTTAATTTACAATAAGTAATTCGGATAAATATTATTGCCTTATTTTAGGTATAAGTTGTTGTTGCAAAGGAAAATCTCGCATTTTTTGCAGGCCATTACATTTTGGAGTTATGATTTACTTCAAGGAAAATTCTGCATTTATTCTATGCTGTTAGGGTTCCCCTGATCATTTTATATAGGATTTTGACACACTATAGCTAAATTCAGAGCTGGTGCAACCAGGTGTGATTTAAGTTAGTGATTAGATCAATTCAAGTGTGGCAAGAGACCACCCTTGCTTAACCAGGAGATCTTCAGTTATCTGGAACTCAAAAAAGAGTCCAACAAAAAGTGGAAATTAGGTCAAATTACAACAGATGACTATAAACAAATAACACACGTAGAGACAAAATTAGAAAGGCAAAGGCACAAAATGAGATTGAACTAGCTAGAGACATAAAGGGTAACAAGAAAATATTCTACAAATACATTAGAAGCAAGAGGAAGACCAAGGACAGGATAAGTCCTGGGGTGGAGGGAACAAAAACAGAAAATCTGGAAATGGCCGAAGAGCTAAAATACTTTTTTGTTTCAGTTTTCACCAAAAAGTTTAGTAGCAATTTAATCATCTAATTTAATGAATGCCAGTGAAAATGAGGTAGGATCAGAGATAAAATAGGAAAGGAACAAGTTAAAAATTACTTAGACAAGTTAGAAGTGTTCAAGTCACCAGGGCTTGATGAAATACATCCTAGAATACTCAAGGAGCTGACAGAAGAGATATCTGAGCCATTACTGATTATCTTTGAAAAGTCATGGAAGATGGGAGAGATTCTGGAGGACTGGAAAAGGGAAAATATTGTGCTCAATCTGTAAAAAAGGGAATAAGGACAACTTGGGGAATTACAGACTAGTCATCTTAACTTCAGTAATGGGAAAGATAAAGGCGCAAATAATTCAGCAATCAGAGTTTACAGACAACTAGAAGATAATAAGGTGAGGTGATAAGTAACAGTCAGCATGGATTTGTCAAGAACAAATTGTGTCAAACCAACCTATTAGCTTTCTTTGACAGGGTAACAAGCCTTGTGGATGGGGGCCAGGGGAGTGGTAGATGTGGTGTATCTTGACTTTAGTAAAGCTTTTGATACTATCTCACATGACCTTCTTATAAACAAAGTAGGAAAATACAACCTAGATGGAACTATTATAAAGTGGGTGCACAACTGGTTGGAAACCTATTCCCAAAGAGTAGTAATCAGTGGTTCACAATCAAGCTGGAAGGGTATATCAAATGGGGTCCTGCAGGGATCGGTGTTGGGTCTGGTTCTGTTCAATATCTTCATTGATGATTTAGATAATGGCATAGAGACTACACTTGTAAAGTTTACAGACGATGCCGAGCCGAGAGGGGTTGCAAGTGCTTTTGAGGTTAAGATTGAAATTCAAAATGATCTGGACAAACTGGAGAAATGGTCTGTACTAAATAGGATGAAATTCAATAAGGACAGATGCAAAGTGCTCCACTTAGAAAAGAACAATCAGTTGCACACACACAAAATGGGAAATGACTGCTTAAGAAGAAATACAGTGGAAAGGGATCTGGGGGTCATAGAGGATCACAAGCTAAATATGAGTCAACAGTGTAACACTGTTGCAAAAAAAGCAAACATCATTCTGGGATGTAGTAGTAGGAGTGTTGTAAGCAAGACATGAGAAGTAATTCTTCTGCTCTACTCTGCGTTGATCAGGCCTCAACTGGAGTATTGTGTCCAGTTCTGGGTGCCACATTTCAGGAAAGATGTGGACAAATTGGAGAAAGTCCAAGAAAAGCAACAAAAATGATTCAAGTACTAGAAAACATGACCTATGAGGGAAGATTGAAAAACTTGGGTTTGTTTAGTCTGGAGAAGAGAAGACTGAGGAGGGATATGATAACAGGTTTCAAGTACATAAAAGGTTATTACAAGGAGGAGGATAGGGCAAGAAGCAATGGGCTTAAATTGCAGCCAGGGCGGTTTTGGTTGGACATTAGGAAAAACTTCCTGACTCTCAGGGTGGTTAAGCACTGGAATAAATTGCCTAGGGAGGTTGTGGAATCTCCATCATTGGAGATTTTTAAGAGCAGGTTAGACAAACACCTGTCAGGGATGGTCTAGATAATATTTAGTCCTGCCTTTAGTGCAGGGGACTGGACTAGAGGATTTCTCCAGGTCCCTTCCAGTCCTACAATTATGTGATTCTAAGTAGTTGATTTGAAATCAAGTATGGTACTTCTCAATATGAATAATGGTGGCAAACCTGAGCCTACATATGGTTCATCATATGGTCAGATTTTGCCACCTTTACTTATATTGAGTAGTACCCTGCTCTGTAGGAAGTTCCACTGTTTTCATTGGTATTGTAGAATCTGGAGTGTAATGAAAAACCATACTAGTAAGTAAATCCTTCTTGAATCATGGAGGTCTATGGACTCAGCACAACTGGTATGGTTCAACAGGACAGGATGGGGGCAGGATTCAGGGAGCCCGTGAAGGTTGTGTCTTCCCATCTCTACATGCCACAAAGCACAGCTCAGTGTTGGCTCTCAGTGCACCACTATGCAGGAGGTTTTGGAGAAAATGTAGGTTGAGGGAGGGGCAGGTCTGGAGTATGTGTAACTACACTGATTTACCATCCGCTGCTCCCACATAGAGGTAAGGTGCTGTGGTCATGGGGACTATTGCAGTCTCAAGGTTGTATAAATGGCCAGAGATCACAGCCTAGGAAGACAACAAGGACTCTGGTGGCACCTTAAAGACTAACAGATTTATTTGGGCATAAGCTTCGTGGGTAAAAAACTCCCTTCAAGTGAAGAAGTGAGGT